CATTAGAGGAACAGTTAAGGAAACAGAATCATTAAGTGGAACACTGTAAATACCAGAATCGTTTAGTGCTTTACGTTTCCCATCCCTAGTTATCATAATCAGTCAGATATTCCCTTATATCCACTGGCCCCTTGAACTCTGTAAGTTTTGCCTTTGGCCCTTCTAGCCTGTGTAACCTACTGGCCCTCATACCGACAGAGTTCAATCTCATCAGATCTGGCTGTGAGATTGGGGGAAATCTTAGCTAAGCTGGTTGTGTTAAGGCCCAGGCAGGCTGAGCTTTATAGCTTAAGACGCCATTTTAATTACACTTGGCTGGAGAGGAAAGTTAACACTGCTAAGTAATTGTGTTCAAGGTCACCAAGCGAGTGAGCACTTCTTGATGGATCAGAGTCATTCAGTTTAGGAAGTATTCTATTTGTGGTCTTTGAAGTTCTGTCTCTTGTGAATATGGTGCAATTATTTTGCATTTTCACTGAGTAAGCAGCACATACTTTTTCCTTTAATGGGCCCGCCTTTGTGTTTCTGATTAGTTTGCCCCCTTGTGGCCATTTTTATATGTGTGATTAAAATCTATATGAGGACAAATTTGTCTGAAGTGTTTTTGAAAATATTGACTATCGACACTCAAAATGTTCTCATTTCATATTTATTTCTTTATTTAACATTCATTTGTCTTGTTGTCAGGTGCCACCAGGGATATCGGCTCCGCTTTGACACGGATGTGCATGCGACACCGCAGCATCGAGGCCAAACTACGCCACTTCACCAAGTGAGTGATCGACCCTTCCATGGCGTGATTACTTTCATGCCTTGCTCCCCGCCAGTCAGACGGCACAGACAGGATTTTATGTCTGTGCCAGGCATTGATTTTCCACTGTGGAGATAAGCAAACATTCATGGATCAATCAGCCTGCTCTAAGGCTTTAATGTGTTGTCTTCAGAGAGACCAAATTAGCTCACCGCTCACAGATTTCAAATGCTGACCTTAAAGAAATAGTTTACCCCAAAAAAAAAACATTTTCTCATCTCATACTCACCCTCATTTCATTCCAAACTACTCATATGATTTTCTTTATTCTGTGGAACACAAAAGGAGAAAATCTTCACACTGCTCCCATATAGTTGTGTTTTAATTTTTATTTTTGTGGTACATACTGTATAAGTGTGTATACACCACTGGTCAAATATTTGAGTAATTTACATTTTTTATGTTTTTGAAAGAAGTCTCTTATGCTCATCAAGGCTGCATTTATTTAATAATGAAATACACTAAAACAGTAATGTTGTGAAATATTATTACAATTTAAAAGAACTGTTTTCTGTTTTAGTATATTTTAAAATGTGATTGTTTCTATGATGGCAAATCTGAATTTCAGCTGCCATTACTCTAGTCTTCAGTGTTATTCATCACTCCAAAATGCTGATAATGCTGAGACACTTTTTATTACCAATGTTGAAAACAGTTTTTGCTTGATACACTACCATTCAAATGCTGGGTTGAGTTATTTCTATTTCAAATAAATGCTGTTCTTTTGAACTTTCAATTCATCAAAGAATCCTGAAAAAATGTTTCACGGTTTCTGCAAAAATATTAAGCAGTAAAAACTATTTTCAGCACTGAAAATAAATAAAAACCATTATTAATAGTTTAGCACCAAATTATGCTTTGCCATAACAGAAATAAATTACATTTTAAACTATTAAACCGTCTTTCTAAATTGTAATATTATTTCACAATATTACAGTTTTTGCTGTATTTTTGATCAAATAAATGCAGCCTTGAGCATAAGAGATTTTTTGCTAAAAAAGTGTAATTATTCCAAAATGTGACCAGTAGTACAATCAAAATTCATATATATATTTCCAATATAAACATAGAGTTTCATTTTTTTTTGTTCTTCTTTAAATGATACTGTGATGTTGGATGGCCATTTTAAATACTGGTTGAGCATAAGAGATTTTTTGCTAAAAAAGTGTAATTATTCCAAAATGTGACCAGTAGTACAATCAAAATTCATATATATTTCCAATATAAACATAGAGTTTCATTTTTTTTTGTTCTTCTTTAAATGATACTGTGATGTTGGGTGGCCATTTTAAATACTGGATTATTTCTATTGTTTCATTTTTGCCATTTTTAATTTATACTCAGTGCTCTAATGGAAAAAATGATCGCCCCACTCCAAGACAAGATAGAAGAGTGGAAGAAAACAGCTGCCCTGCTTGATAAAGACCATGCCAAAGGTGGGACTGACTCAGTTGTCGATATGCAAACCTGTTCATACTCACTGCACTACTATCGTCTGTGAATTTACACCTTCCTTCTGTTCACCAGAGTACAAGCGCTCTAGGCAGGAGATCAAGAAGAAATCATCTGACACAATAAAGCTGCAGAAGAAAGCCAGAAAAGGTTGGTCTTTTTATTCTCTCTGTCAGCACAATGATTTCCCCTCTCGCTGACACTCTCTCTGTGCATTATTTTCAGAGTATTACTGCATTTGGTATGTTAAATTATTCGTGAAATGTGTCGTGTCGTGCTGGGATCTTTTCTAACTCAACCCCCTCTCTTGCATGCTTACTTTTTCCGATGCCAAGATTAATTAGGTTAGGTTAAAAGGTCACGGTAACCCTATTAAATCAGATGAAGGTGATCAGTAATGTGTACCACCATCTAGTGGAGGATTGATTTTAAAGGGATAGTTCACCCAAAAATGAATATTCTGTTATTATTTACTCATTCTCATGTTGTTTCAAGCCTGTATGACTTCCTTTCTTCTGTGGAACATAAAAGAAGGTATTTTGAAGAATGTTGAGGGGGAAAATGTATAATGTATGACTCGCTTGCGATTTCATTCCTTTGCATTCCCTCACACCTTTGCAATTTCTTCATGGCAATGCTATTTTTCTCTCTGTCTTTCATACAATGATTGGCTTGGCTTCTGCTTATAAACTGTAGAACTACCAGGTATGTATTCAGGCAGTTCATGGTTCATTCCATCATAGTTCATCACATTTAGCATGACTAACATTGATTTCATTTCATCATGTGTTTTAATGAGAATGTTTTAGTGTCCTCTTCAAACACAAAATTCCATTGTTCACAAAGTGTGCTCATCTCATTGTCATTCTTTCCATCAGACATAATAAGCATCTTTGTTGTGAAATCACAGCGCACAATCATGCAATATTTGCAGTGTGTTTAGATTCATAGCATCAACTCTGTGTCATTTATTATTTTCATTATATGGTCATGAAGGTTTCCTTGCATGAAGCCTGACAATGCCTGGTTGCTGTGTTGACATTATCCACCCTAATCTGTCTTTGGTTGTGCTGACCCATGGGACATTTGTGTTGACATCTACATCAAACATTTCATGTGTTAAAATGCTAAAATATGCATTTTCAGTGCATCTCAGCATACACTACTGTTCAAAAGTTTGGGGTCTGTAACATTTATGAATGTTTTTAAAAGAATTAACTAATACTCACCAAGGCTTTATTTGATCACAAATACAGTAAAAACAGCAAAACTGCTATTTTAAAAACTGTTTCCCTTATTAACATATTTTAAAATGTAATTTATTCCTGTGATGGTAAAGCTGAATTTTCAGCAGTCATTACTCCAGTCTTCAGTGTCACATGATCCTTCAGAAATCATTCTAACATGATGATTTGGTGAAACATTATTATCAATGCTGAAAACAGTTATGCTGTTTAATGGTTTATGGATGTTATGATGAATAGGAAGTTCAAAAGAACAGCCATTTAAAGTATCCTTGCTGAATAAAATCTTACTCACCCCAAATTTTGAAGAGTAGTGTAATTTTCCTTTCATGGATTGTTCATCCACACACTGCTTTATTGCCTCTCACGGTATCTCTCTTTCTCTTCGTCTCAGGTCGAGGAGGACTGAAGCCACAGCTGGACAGTGCCATGCAGGATGTGAGTGACATGTACCTTCTGATGGAGGAGACTGAGAAGCAGGCTGTGCGCCGAGCCCTCCTGGAGGAAAGGGGGCGCTACTGCACCTTCATCAGCTTCCTGCAGCCTGTAGTGGTGAGAATGAATGGCTCTGGGTCTGAAGTTACTTCTAGATAATATATAATAAAAATTTATTTACTTGTAAAAGTTACTGAATTAAAATATCAATTTTATGTATTTATGGGAAAAAAAAACATCAAGTGACAACATGCCCCGCTCTCCCCTATGTATGTATTTGAATGAAAGAGAGGAGTGCTTGCTGCTATTTAAAATAAAGTGGCATTAACCTCTTTCCTCAGATCGGTGAAATTGCCATGCTGGGAGAGGCCACTCACCTCCAGGCCATTATTGATGACCTCACTGTGTTGACAACTGACCCACATAAACTCCCAGAGGCCAGTGAACAGGTGCTTAAACACATATATGAAAATCATTTAACATACATACTCAAATATCAAAAATAACAATATATTATTTTTGATTTCCGCTAGGTGATTTTGGATCTTAAGGGGTCTGACTATAACTGGTCCTACCAGACTCCACCTTCTTCTCCCAGTAGTGTTGGATCTAGGAAGAGCAGCCTTTGCAGGTGCTTGTCTCGTCATTTTCTAGCACAATTAATATTTTGCGTCAGTTACTATTTTATAATGATATTGTTAAGCCATATGTAGTCTCAACAATTCTCGGTTGCATTTGGATATTCTTATTTGGTTATTTGCTAGTTTTGAGAGTAACACTAATAATTTCCTTGTGTTTCTCTCAGTTTGGTGCATCTGCCACCAGGTGGCGCCCATCGCCTGAGCAGCGTCTCCTCTCATGATTCTGGATTTGTCTCTCAAGATGCCAATGTACACTCCAAACCTCCCTCCCCCATGCCGTCTGACATCACTAGCCAGGTCTTTACCGGTTTGTTTCATTTTAATGCTTATTTCCACATCCATTTCACTGACCTATTTTTAACTATCTTTGGTAAACAGAAGTCATCCAGTTCTGCATCCTCAGAGGCTTCAGAAACCTGTCAGTCAGTCAGTGAGTGCGGCTCTCCCACAATAGTAAGTATTAATTTCAGTCAGGAAATGACTCAGTCTCTTCGCCCACAACATCTTAAAGGGGTCCTATTATGCTCTTTTACAAAGTCTTGATTTTGTTTTGGGGGTGTACTAGAACAGGCTCTCATACTAGGTTGTTCGAAAAACACATTATTTTTCACATATTTTACATTATTACAACACCTCTCTCCCCAGTCTGGCATGAACGAATAGTTCCTGTATCAAATGAAGGCCCGCCTTCTGAAATACGAAATGTGCTGTGATGGGTTAGCTGGGCCAGTGTGTGCTGTGATGGGTAAGCTTGGCCAGTGCGTGCTGTGATGGGTTAGCTGGGCCAGTGCGTGCTGTGATGGGTTAGCTGGGCCAGTGCGTGCTGTGATGGGTTAGCTGGGCCAGAGTATTGATTGTATATATATATATATATATATATATATATATATATAAAATGCATAAAAGGGTTAACTTAATTTATTTTTGTATATTATTACACTGTTATTTGGTGTGGGGTATTCACTGAAGCTTGTGTGATGTTTTCTGTATTTGATTGGGCCATCCTGTCATTCCGTTTCCACAGTTCGGCTCATCCTTTGCTACCTTTCGCCCTGCTCACTATTTTAATGACTCCATCAGGCCTCACTCTTACATACTTCCTGCGTCCCCTTCCTATAACCAATCCCCAGGATCAAACTCCCCTTCTCCCACACCAAAGATTCCTTACTGGAAGGTTTGTTTTTCATTTTGACCATTCGGCCAGCCTTTATTTGCTTTATTATCTTCTGTTATAAAACATTATTAGTTTTAATTTGTTTGTTTTTATCTCATCCCATTTCATTTCTTTATCATCCGCTTTTCACTGTTAACCAACATCCTCAAGTTTGCTGGTTATTTTTTTTTATTATTAAAATAAACATCTACTAAATAAGCAGGTCCTGTCCTATTCTGGCTATACTTCCATGACCTTAAAAAAAAAAAACACTTTCCTCTTGCAGCAGGACTGGTCAAAGACAGGTCACTATGAGCAGACGGCTGTAACCGGGCAGCGCAGGACTGAGGCTGGAGTGGGAGGAAATGGAATAATTCACCCCGAGGATCCTTATAGGCTAGCAAGAATGAATTCTAAAGACCTCACTGCAAAGGTATTGAGAATGTATTTTTTTTATATAAACTATAAAATTTTAATAATTGTATTATTTTATTTGATTTTAATAATTATAATTATTTATACTACCAGTCAAAGGTTTGGAATAATTCAGATTTTATTTTTGAATGTTTTTAAAACCAGGACTACATTAATTTGATTAAAAATACAGGAAAAACCGTAATATTGTAAAATATGATTACAATTTAAAATAACTCTTTTCAATTTAAATATAATTCCTTTTGAAGTGGACTTTGAGCTTTGTAACTTTGCAGATCTTTTTTATGCTCAAACAGCAACATTACAGACTAACTCAAGTTGAAAAAGTGAAAAAGCATAATAGGACCCCTTTAAACTTTCACGATTGAGCTCTGTTACATCAGACAGAATTCTTTTGTCATCATTTCTTTCTTTTTCATAATTTGCACTTAAGTTATCATATTTCTTTGATTTAACACGTAAGCACAATGTCCATGACCTTAAAAAAAAAAAACACTTTCCTCTTGCAGCAGGACTGGTCAAAGACAGGTCACTATGAGCAGACGGCTGTAACCGGGCAGCGCAGGACTGAGGCTGGAGTGGGAGGAAATGGAATAATTCACCCCGAGGATCCTTATAGGCTAGCAAGAATGAATTCTAAAGACCTCACTGCAAAGGTATTGAGAATGTATTTTTTTTATATAAACTATAAAATTTTAATAATTGTATTATTTTATTTGATTTTAATAATTATAATTATTTATACTACCAGTCAAAGGTTTGGAATAATTCAGATTTTATTTTTGAATGTTTTTAAAACCAGGACTACATTAATTTGATTAAAAATACAGGAAAAACCGTAATATTGTAAAATATGATTACAATTTAAAATAACTCTTTTCAATTTAAATATAATTTATTCCTGTGATGACAAAGCAGAATTTTCAGCATCATTACTCTAGTCTTCAGTGTCACATGATCCTTCAGAAATCATTCTAATATGCTGATTTGGTGCTTAGTTATGATCAATTATTAAAAATAATTAAAAAATGCTTATTTTACTTATTAGAAATATTGGAAATATTGTTAAAATATTAAGCAATTGTTTTCAATATTGTTAATAATAAGAAATGTTTCTTGAGCAGCAAATCAGCAGAATAATTTCTGACACAGAAGACTGGAGTAATGATGCTGAAGAATTTGTATTACCATCACAGGAATAAATTACATCTTAAAATGTATTTAAAAAAAAAACAGTTAACTTAAATTGTACTCAAATTTTAAAGTATTACTGTTTTATTTTGCAAGGCATAAGAGATTTTTTTTTTTTTACATTTAAAAAAATCTTAATTAAACCAGATTTTTGACTGGTAGTGTACATACATATCTATCATTTTCTCTCTTTTTGTCTTAGCATGGTAAGCCGATGTCATCCGCTGCTAGTGAGCTGGCTATGGTTCTGACTCGTGGGCTTAGTATAGAACAGCAGCAGAAGAACAGCTGTGACTCTCTGCAGTACTCCAGTGGATACAGCACACAGAACACGACACCATCATGTTCAGAGGACACTATCCCTTCACAGGGTAATATACACACACAAACATAAACACATTACGTACAGCATTTACAACACTTGTCCATTTCATTCAGAGAAAAATACGTATTTACAAAGATTGCCAACAGGCTCTTTTTCAAAAACTAGCTGAAACTAAACAACAAAAGTGACTGGATTGCTATACAAACTCCATACAGCTTACAAATAATACCCCTCACTGGATTCGAATGGTGGACTCAACACGAAACGAGACTCTAATAAACTTTAAGCTTTAGAATTACAAGGTATCTTATCTTCTGGAACAGTTGTTGGGTTGGGAGTGTGATTGTGACGCCTTAAAATGCTGCCTAAATAGGAATCTCACTATGTTTTTAGACACAGCCACATTTATTAAACTATTAGCATTTTAATAAGAGACCTAAAACACACACAAATACAATCCACTGCACGAAGGCCGAGAGAGTCGAGTAATATCTTCTCTTCCCATTTTCTCTTTGCAGGATCTGAATATGATTGTTATTCCATGAATGGTGACGCTGATAACGACGCACAGACAGACTTCAACAAGTCCTGCACCGTCCCTCGCCATAGCAATCTGGCTCAGAACTACCGCCGTATGATCCAGACCAAGCGGCCTGCCAGCACCGCAGGGCTGCATGGAGCACTGGCTGCCCAGGGAGCCCCAACAACCAATGGCAAAGGAGGAGGAAGTGGTGTCATAGCCTCAGGAACAGCCACCATTCGTAGAACCCCTTCATCTAAAACAAACGTGAGACGCACTCCATCCAGTGTGGGTCCGATCCCTATACGACCACCTATTGTCCCTGTAAAGACTCCGACCGTCCCAGACTCACCTGAATTCCCCAGCCCTCCTCCTGAGCACAGTGGAAGTGAGGAAAACCTGTACAATGACGAATCGTTAGAAATTCTGGACTACAAAGCTTCTCCCAAGCGAATGAGTCTGCCAACATGGGGAGCTGGTGGTGGAAGTGTCTACGCTCAGCAAACTGGAGCTGCGGGATTCACTTCAGAAGAAGAGCAGATGCTTGCCGCCAATCGCCATAGTCTGGTAGAGAAGATTGGAGAGCTGGCCGCTAATGCTCATGCTCTCGGTGAGGGCCAGTTCCCATTTCCCACAGACCCTCAGGCCAGCCAGGGCCACCGGCAAGATCAAGGGCATGAGCAGGACGGAGGAGACATGTTGAAGACCATCCGTAGAGGAGTGCGTCTTAGAAAAGCGACCTGCAATGACAGATCAGCACCAAGGATTTTGCGATAGTTTAGTACTGCTTCTCTTGCCAAGTCTATTGCTACAGACTCTCCAAATGAAGAGGAACAAAATATCATGTAAAATATAAGAAGATGGTGATTAAAAATAAATAAATTTCAGTGTTACAATCTGCCATCGAACAACTAGAAGGCCAGTGTCAATGTTACATGTTGAGTACGTATGGACACTATACTCATCTAGACTATTATTGTTGTAGTTATATTCAGATTTGGACTAATATCTCTTTGACAGGCATATTATGATGGACAAATTGTGGCCTGAAGGATGAGAATGTAATTTTAAAATGTGTATTAACATACTAGTTATGCCGGTTGTTCCTTTTTGGAGTTGCAATTTGTATTGACTATGTTCTTCATGTTACTTCTATGTAACTGTGATGTTTTTGAGACATTTCTGTTCCCACGTGTAACTATTGTAAAAAGCCAAAGTCTTGTTCTCAACTGAAAAGCTGCATAAAACTGCTTATACCGCAGCTCAGTCTCAGATGGACCACACAATTGAATCACCGCACATTCTGTAAACTGCCAAATAAAGCACATCAGTTGTACTAGACCAGAGAATTTTTTTGTTCTTGCTGAATGAATACTTGTGGATGATTTTAGAGAAGGTGTCATAGGGTACATTTAGGATTCTATTTTAGAAATGTCCAGCAGGTGGTGTAAGTTGCTTAATTTATGTAGCATATGAATATGTCAGTCATACAATACTATGGTATATATCAAAGTACCATTCTATTACCGTTTTTTTTTATATGCGTATCATGGTAATACTATAGTTTCCTTTCATGTAGCATCATGTCATGGAATACAATGTAAATACAATTTAATTATTGCATATGACAATCAGATTGTCTTCTATAGAGCTGCTTTACAGATGAAATTAAATTTGTTTCACAATTTATGTACATTAACATTGTTATTTTCCTGTTTATTACTATGAAGCTGCTTTACACAATCTATTGTATAAAGTGCTATATATATAATAAAAAAAAAACATAGTACTATAGTGCCATACGAAAATTAACCATTGTTTTACTGTAGTAAAAGTGTAGTAACCATGGTTTTTGGCATATTGATTACCATTTGTATAACCACAGTTTTACTACAAATACCATGGTTAAATTACAGTTAGTGTCGGAAAACCATGGTTAATTTGTGGTTACCATGAGTAAACTATAGTAACCAAGGTTTTTTTGGTTTAATTTGTAGTAAAACCATGGTTAATGTTTTTATAAGGGGTATTGAATATATCATAAATATATATATACAGTACCATAGTATATATAATATAAAGGAAATACAATTTTACATTACCATGATAAGAATTCGCTTTGGAATTCCATGTAATATCATTTGATATCAGTCTGTGGTTACACTTTATTTTACAGTGCCCTTGTTAGATACCAACAGATAATATAAATTAAGATGTACTTACTATTCGGTTATGATTAGGGTTACTGCATCTAATTAGGTATATTTTTCTGTTATTAATAGGAAGTACATGTAACGTGTAACAAGGACACTGTAAAATAAAGCGTTATACGCTAATCATATGCTGTAGCACAAAGTAGCCTACTATCTGATTTTACTATGATACTACAGTATTTTGTTGTCAGGGTAGCATGCTTACTAGTAATGCACTTTTTATGCACAGAACTGGCCCAAGTATGGTAGGTGTGTGTTCTCATTTACTCTTTTATGGCTAGATCCTGATGGCTCTTTTGATCTTTTGTACTTTTGTTCTGCAGGGCCCGAGATTACCCGCATGTGGGGTTTATGTGACCCATCCTTGCGATTAAATCTAATTGATGGGATAAAGAGCCGGACCCGGGCTGAAGGAGGCGTTTGATGTGGCAGCTGGAGATCGTGAGAATGAGGAGAGGCAAAAGCCTCGGCTCCAGTCACTCATTCACTCACTCACTCACTCATCACATCCCCGTCTCCGTTATCCACCCCTTTCTGATGGACGGGACCCCCACACTCCGCTCCGGGCTACACATACAGGGATGTGACACTGGTGCGCATCCTGCCGTCAGTCGCGCAGCAAAGTGGCACGCGTGCCATTTTCACTGACAGACGCGTTCGTCTGCCTATTCACGCTCCTCCGCTGCAAATGCGAGACATGACTGTATACTGATGGGGCCATGTCGCAAACAAGACAGCGCAGCAGAAATAAACACATCTTGAGCAATGCGATCTGATCTGGAGGAGAGGGACAGAGAGCTTTATATGCACAGGGACACTTGGGTAACAGCTTTGTTTTTTTCCCCTTATCTGCAATACTGGACTTTTGGGATGAGATTTTATCTTTAGGTAAATGATTAACTAAATGGGGAAATGAGGGTTTTTAGAAAATTACTGTGATTATCCAAGATGCCAATTATGGGGTATTTTTTTTTTAAAGTAAATGTACTTTTCAACGGCCCCACAACATTTCAGTAACTAAAGTTAGATTAAGTTAGTCAGAGTGCGCTATAGGCCTATAGCTAAGCGCGCGAACAGAAATCGTTTGACTATACAGTCATTCTTGAGACGTGGGACAAAACAGGTCCAGCAAGGATAACTGCTATTAGCTTTAAAAAATAGACAGGCTCTGCTGAGTTTTATAGTTTTAGAATATTTTAAATCCTAATGTTAATATTTCCTTTGTCACAGCCATGATATGTCAACACCATCTTCCAATTTCTGAGGAAATTATTTGAAATATTTAGATAATTTTATTCTCCTGAAGCAGGTTCCATTAGCATCTAGAATCAACAGAAAAAAATAAAATGGCTACTACATGAACTCCACCGGTTTTGTGAAAGAAATGCCAAATTTGTCAACACCGTCAGATGTCACCACCATAAGATTTTGTGTTCCAATGATATATCAA